AAGCTAATGAGTATATTATTAATAGTATATTATTAGTAGTATATATCCAATAAGTATATATTGGATATATACTTATTATATATAATATATATATCTAAGCTATAAGTGGATTTGATTTTTGCCGTTCGAAGTGCCTGTAGAATTACTCCATTATAGAAACCATTTTTAATTAATAGCTAACCAGCAAATCTCAATACCTGTCTCTCTGTTCAAAGTCCACCTTAGAGCTGGAATTTACCTTTCTGTCATGGAAACTAATTGCAACTCCTTGAGCCAAAATTCCGACACGGCGCAGCAGGAGCCGCCCGCCAGCCTGCGGTCTGACAACGAGCTCTGACCTAACGAGCCCCAGATCCGCTTGGCGTGGTGAGACCTGGCTGGGGTCACTCCTGGGAAGGCACAGCCAGTGCCTCCAGGTGACACCTCAGCTGGTGACAGTGGGGTCAGAAAGAGGGAAGTATCACCCACGAATGTCAAGGTGCAGGCTTTTTGTGGTTTGGGGTTCTTCTGGTAGGAAACAACATTTCAGGAATAGTTTTTCAAAAGCAACTCTACTTAGCGCTGTAGTAATCCTAAAACCGCCTGGAGTGCAAATTTAAGATACACTTAATTGAAAGGGTTCGTCACCTCAAAGACTTCAGGAACGTTGTCCCTGTTAAAACTGAACTGCTCTATGAAGCCTCGTGAACCAAGATGAGATCACTCGGTTTTCCCGCTGCAATGGTGGCTTCATCTGACCACCAGGCGAGGGTCACAATTTTTTCCCTGTTGCAGTTGACGTTTGTGTATTAATCTGTTGTTTTATTCTTTTTCCTAAGCTGAGAGAGTTGTTAGAGGGGTACGCAGCCGCCTTCAGAGACCCCATGATGCTCCAGCCCCCCGAGTGGTTTCAGGCGTTTATATATTGCGAAGCCTTCTTACAAATGCCTTTCTTCCCCATTGCAGCATACGCCTTCTTAAAAGGTTGGTGTGAAACAAGGGTAAGAATATGTCCTGTGCAGCGTTTCTGCATAACGCTTGCTTTCTATACAGCAGAAGAAAAAATATTTATCAGTCTTAAGCAATTAGAGAGACGTACCGCATGGAGTGAAGTGCTGTGCCGTTTTCATGGCAGATTTTATCTGAGAAAGCAGCATAGAATGAGGCCTGTCAGAAACAAAACCTGTCACTGTAGGGCTCTTGTCAACTGCAGCCATTTATGTGTAACCAGGATCAAAGTTTGGCATCTGGCACGCTTCTGAGGTAGATAAAGTTCTGGGTCAAGCCTGTGTACTCATTTTGTTACTTTAAAGCTTTCACCGTCACACCGTTGTTCTAAATTTCCATAAAGGTTCATCATTTTCCTGGGTTGCTACTGGTACTTGGGGTTTTCTCTGCTATCTGTTTAACATGACTTGTGGCTTATCCTGTCAGAGATACAGCAGTTAATGTTCTGTTAATTCAAAAGCCCCTGAATTCTGCTTGTTTCAAAATACTTCAATATTGTTTCCTTTTTGCTTTATGCAGGTGGCTGCAAATGGATAAGGACTCCAGCAATTATTTACTCCACCCACGTAGCGACGACTTTGTTTGCCATCCTGGCGCATATCCTGTTCCATGATTTCTCCAAGTCGGAGCACTTGGGACCTCAGACCCAACGTGAGCGCCTGGTTCTGTTATCTATATACGTGCCATACTTGCTGATACCACTTCTGATTCTTTTTACCATGCTCTACAACCCCCATTATAACCACGGGGAGAAAAGGAAAAGGAAGTAGTCCACTCTAAGTCGTACGCGTGACGCTCATACTGGTTTTGATTCAGGCCCTGTGCTGACGTAGTCCTCTGGGACAAACATTGGTCTGGTGTTGGTGGCTGCAACAGCTGGTAGCAGAGCACCTGGCTCCTGCAAGAAAAATGTGAATTGGTTGGAGTTTACAGCACTCCTTCAATCGGAAATAGCTTTGGCAGCAGCCTGTACCACCAGTCCCATCTGGTTTATGGCACACGCAGGTAAAGGGACCTCACTCCTCTCCCACCGTCAGGTTTGTGTGGTGCATCTGTCTAAAATGAACTTTTAACCATTTGATGTGTAATGGGTGATGGGGGCATTACTACAGCTGGTACTTTTCTTTCAAGTTCCCTTTTTCCAAGATGACTGTTAGAAAACCACTGAAGTAAGAGATTTGTCTTCCAAGAACATATTCTACACAATCCGTAACTGATTACATCGATTCGCAATGCTTTGCTTTTGAAGCATTTCAAATCATATAATAATTCTTAACTTCCTCGCCCCTTCCTTTACAATTGCACCTTCCTTTGCTCTGCTTCAATTTTGATTAACTGTAAAAGTCTGATCAGCGATAAATGTGCCAAAATCTGGATTTATGAATGCTGAAAGTTAACTTTCTTTGACAATGAGGTGTAACAGGATTTTGAAATACTTCAGGAATTGTAAACAAGGATTTGCAAATTTCCCTCTTCTACGAAATCACTTCTAGCATGGAAATAAATAACTAAACGCATTAAACTGCATTTAATCTTCTTAAGGCAACGACTAAAATGATTGAAATGACGATGAGACCGTAGATAGTTCACACAGTAAATACATGTGTAAGTTACAGTAAGTAAAACCTATTCCTGATCGAGTTCTGGGGGCTGCTTTTGGTGTTTCAAGATCTGCAAGAATCAAACGTGGAGACTTGCGCAAGACGACGGGTCACCGAAGCAGCGTGTCAGTCACTGCCCGTGTGCTCAGCACTTCACTGGTCCAAGATTTAAACCTTCCACCAGCTTTGAAAGGCCAACGTTCCATAGCTGGTTGCCTAAAGACAGGCAGAAAACGCATCTACTTGCACCTCAACACGAGTCTTGATTTTAGATCACAGGCATTTAGTTTTTAAATGTCACATTTGTATTTAGAGTTTGTATATATTGTGTACACTGAGAATGGTTTGCAGTTCTACCAGTGAAAAAATTCAGCTCCAGTATTACTGCCTGTGTGGACATAGTTTGAAGTTCTTAACTCTGCTGCATTTTCTGCTTTTTTATCTGTCTAATTGATCTGTTCTGTTAATCATAAATTTCTGAGGTTTTTTCCTAACTCTACACAAAAAACAATCTGGTCAATATAGATAAAAGTTACTGCTGCGTGTGTGTTGTGTCTTTACACAGATGGAAACTACAACACACAGGACAACCACTGTGACTGTCTGGGGTAGTTGTAAACTCTGAAGCTCAAAAATAACACAGCAGAAGCAACTAATTCTGGTCTATTCAGAAAGTGTGAAAACAGTAATTTATTTCCCGATTTCTTTGAAAGAGCTGTACACTTCGAAACGTGAGAGACATAACATAGCAACAGTAGTATTAATTCAACTATAGCTTGAGTTGGTGCTACTGACTGTACAAAACTTCTATAAAATCAAAGGACAGAACAGTCTTTACATCTGTTAGAAAGTCCTTATTGCCACTTTTAATGTAATTCACACTGAATTAAAAGACACTTCCATTTGTACAAGCCATCTCTTCATTCGTACACAGTGAAAAAATGCATATTCTTGCAGTTCTCAAGATTCTGGAATGGTCGCGGTTCCAAGTTAGTTTGCTTCTATCTTGAAGTCCTCTATTTCTGAAAAATGAATTGGTCGATGAATTCATTCTGGTCTGCTTCAGTTTTACACAGAGTCTCGTACTCTATTCGGTATCTGAAAGAGGAAAAAACAAACGGTCACCAGCTGCATCCAGCCCATGTCAGATGGTTCAGTACCACGTTCACTGGTCTGTGGTGGAGGGAAGTGAGGCTGCATCTGTCAGTCATCTGCACAGCACGGCTGCCCCAGTCAGCCCTCGCAGATCTCACGTGCCTTCACGAGTCGGACACGTGGGACGCTGCCACAGCTTCACTCCCTTCTCCAGCTGCGTGATCTGGCGCCGCCTGTTTACTGAGCCACACAGTCACCAGAGATGAACCTTCCTGGCGGGTGGCACACAGGGCTTGAAGCCTGGCGGCTCTGCGTGGCTCCACGCGTGCTCTGTGCAGGAGGACACATCTCCCCGCTGCAGATGGACAGTCTGAGCTCGTTCCAGCAGTCCTGCGGCCAAGCACAGGTGGCGAGACTGACTTCCCAGCCTACATAACGCCCCAAAAGTAGTTAATAGAGAACTCACCTTTCCAGCTGCATCTTCTTCTCAGCTATTAAAGCCTGAAGTTGCTGCTCCTGAGCTTCTCTTTGCTTTGCTATAGACTTCAGAAAATTCCGTGCACCGATGGCCTGTCAAAAGAGGACTGTCGGTCATGTGGTTGTATGGGGATTTTTTAATGATTTTACCCCTTTCACGACTAGCAGGTTGATTTTGAAGTGTTTCAGCCACGCTCACAATAAAGGAGGGTGACTCTGGAACACTGAATGGTTGGTGGAACCGGCCTGGCAGAGCCTCACCTGCCTCTTGAGGACAAAGCTCTACCACTAAGTAGAAGGAATAAATACACGTTCTATTTACGTGCAAATAGACAGATGAGCAGCAACAGCAGTGCTGTTAAACGCAGCAGTAACGTGGCACTCCGAGCGTGCCTGGGAACGTCTTCTAGAGGTTGATATCCCTGGAAAAGCACCGTGCTTTCATGCTGCGGACAGACAGCTGTTAACCATCACGGAAACGCCTGACAGGCTGACAGAAAAAGCTTGCTTATGCCGTAAAAAGTGGGAGAGATCTGGTTTTTCATGGACGGGACAGAGCAGAGTGCGTGTCAGCCAGTAACTAACTGCACAGTACCTTCATCTTCTCACTTTCAGCCGCTTTTGCCAGTTGATCGACAAGTTCGATTAAGCTGCCCACTGTCTTCTGAAACTCCACTATTTCTGTAAAGGAAAAAGAGTCACATCATGTTCAGAACGCCCCGAATTCGAGTAACGCTTCTCCTACACGCCGTGATTTTCAGACGCGGCGCGTATTTCGGGAGCTCGCTGGGAGCGGCCGCACTTCGCTCAGATGGCGACAAAGCGGGGCGAC